AGTAAGCTCTCAACAGTCCGTATGAAGAATGATAGGCATGCTTATGCTTTTTTTTTCCTGTGTCTTTCATTTTCTCCCTTTATGGCTCCACATTCTACATCTTCCCCACTGCTACTCTTACCATTATCAGGCACAGTTATTATCAAACTTTCTGGGTTATCTTCTATTATAGATGAACCAAGAGACACTAAAACATTTAAAGAGCAATCATGGTAGGAAAGCACAGGAAGAAAAAGGAAAAGCAGCACAGAACTGCAATCTTTTATGCTTTGACAGGCTTTTCAGTCTGCAAACAAGAGAACAGCTACTCCCATATCATCAGACATCTATACTACCTGCTTATCAACAGGATAAAAATATGTGTTTTCTTACATGGAATGAGGGTTCCATTGTTTAACCTATCTAAATTCAGTGAGTAAACTTGAGATATGCCTGAATGTGACTGACTAGGGAAACATTGTCTTTCATGAAACTTTTTTCTAAAGTTACTTTTAATGGTACTGCAGGAATGAACATTCATAATCTCTCCTGCAACTATCTTCTAGTCTGGCATATGTAAACCATAACAAAAAAGATATTCCATAGAAATTAGCATCTTACTCTTCAAGGCGCTAATTAAACAGCCAGTTCTCTTCATGTACTGCACTGCTTTTGCCCTCTTCTATGAAGGTTTTCATGAAGAGGAATCAGTCCTCTTCCCTGCTAATCTATCTGTGATAGATGTTTGAGTATCTACATTGCAACACCTTTGCAACCAAATTTAGCAGTTCTAATTTGTTATACTGATTTTTTGTTGTTGTTATTTTACATCAGAGCTGTTCTAGAAATCAGCATGCAAATTGTAGAAAAATAAATCTAGAGAGATTTTGTTCCCCCTGCAAAATAAAATATATTTTGAATGGAGAAATCACCAAAAGGAGGATTCTCTTAATATAATTTGATTTCTCTTTATTCATTTTTAGCATCCTACAGCTAGGAAAGATAAAATGTTTCCCAAGTGAAGAGCCAGAGGATTATGGTCTATCACAGAATTTTTACAAATTATTTTTCAAGACAGTATTTCTGTTAGGTTAGGAGAACAGAACTCTTCAACAGTATATCACAGACTGAAGTGGTTCATGCTTTAAACCTTGTTATGAAGGAGTTTTTCCCATTATGGCAAAAACTGTATAAAGAAGCTACAACCACAGAAGCCCATCCCTCCTTGAAGATGCCTGACTGGAACTTGGTACAGTGAGTTAAGCAGCCTGGATAAGATAAATGCAACGTTATGTTCAATCACCTCAAGTCTGGGGAGAAACAAACAAGGCTGAGGGAACTGAATGCATCCACAGGAAAGCCAAACCCAACAGAGAACCATCTCTGGCTGTTTTTGGGGTGGGGGAGACCACAGCCCACAGAGGCCAGGTTTGCACAGACTGCCCCCAACCGAGGGGTGAGGAGGAGGTTTCGGATGTGTGGTGTAACCTCTGGTCAGAGGCAGTGAGCACCCATCCTCCCTCACACAAACCAGCCCAGCTGTGGAACCCCCAACTCCACAGGCGACATCCACGGGGCATTCACGTGGGAGGCAGCTGAGGGGGTGCCATAATCCATCAAAGATCCTGAAAGTGCATCCCAGAGGCCTGGCACCACAAGACTGCATGGATGCAAAATGATGCAACAGGTCCAGAGTCTGGTGGAAGAGACTGCCTCCTTCCAGGAGAGGTACCTGGGCATTCTCAGCTGGCCTGGCCTGATTGTATGTTAATCCAGTGGATTCTATGTTTTTCAGGGAGGACCTTCACCACCAAGACCAGCTGGAGAGGATCAACAGAACATCATTGGGATTCACAGAGTAGTGATATTTTCTTTGACCTGTCTCTGTCACTCTCTTTCTGTGCCCCCACCTCTTTTCTATTTCTTTCTTTCTCTCTCTCCTTCTGTCTCTCTCTCTCTCATATTTCTAATTAAATAAACCCCATAAACTTTGGCATATGGTCTTTTGCGCCTTAACTCAAGCAGAGGCATCTCTAATAACTCTAAAAATTGGACGTAACACAGTGCTGGTGCAATAATAAAAGAGGTAAATTCATTATTAGAACAGATTAGCATCAGCACTTCACATTTGCAATAGAAAGTTTCATTTAGAAGAGGAAGAATTCCATTACAATGTACAAATGTAGATTTATCTAAAATATTGCCTTATAAAATGAGGGCAGTCTTTCATTTTATTAATTCCTGGGATTGCTACAAAACATCCAGATCTTGAAATCATGTTGCAATTACACTCACTTTTTCAAGGCTTTTCTATACAAAGAACTTGACTAGAACAGCTATCACAAAATAAGAGAGCTATTCTTGACTCGCATTTTTTGTGCAGATGTTAATTATAGACTATTTTTATTATTCTAAAAAGGAGTGTCTGTGGAAAGTTCTCCAAGAATAACTGTTAAACTGAGCATCTCAAATTCCTCCATTTGGGGCTCTATGTGTGTTATTTAATGAAAACATTTCTACTCCAACTTTAAAAGGTAAAAAATATGGATAGCAGTCTTGAGCCCTTCTAACAAAGTACTTAACAGTATTTTTAAGAATGCAATTGTTGAGCAAAGTACATAGAGAAAAATCTGTATATATTAAATGAACTATATGTATTACAACCACTTTTCCAATAATTCTGCAAATGCCTTCAAAATTCTAACATTTAATTGCTGATATTTCCTGTAGTTGTATAAAGCAAGCAGAGAAACCATGATCTAGTCATCGCTGAAATAAAACAATAGAATGGAAAGAAAATATAAACTGTACTAGAAAAAGTCAGAGAAATGGGGGGGGGAAACACTAGGAATTTTCTTCACCTGCAAGAGAAATGAAATACTGAACAGAAGAAAGGAACTTCAGTCTGACCTCATGCTTGTTTAAAACCTTTTCATTTATATGGATTTACTATAGTATAAGAGCTGTGTAAATGAATCACAGAATGTCAGAAAGCTTTAGGTTGAAAGGGACCTTGATGTCCATCTCATTCCACCCCTTGCCATGGGCAGGGACACCTTTCATTAGACCAAGTTCCTCAGAGCCCCATGCAGCCTGGCCTTGAACACCAGGGATGAGGCAGCCACAGCTGCTCTGGGCAATCCATGCCATCATGCTCACTGTAAAGAATTTCTTCCATATGTGTAAACCTAAGTTTTCCCTCTTTCAGTTTGAAACCATTATTCCTTGTCCTGTCACTACATTTTCTCGTGAAGAGTCCCTCTCCTGCCTCCCTTCGGATGCTAGAAAGCTGCTGTGAGTTGTCCATGCAACCTTCTCTTTTCCAGGCTGAAGAGCCTCAAATCTCTTAGCCTGTCTTCATCAGGGAGGTGCTTCTGCCCCCCATCACCTTGGTGCCTCCTCTGGGCTGGCTCCAGCAGGTGCCTGTCCTTGCTGTGATTTGAGCCCAGAGCTGGATGCAGCCCTGCAGGTGGGCTCTCAGCAGAGTGGGGTGGAAGGGCAGAATCCCCTCCCTGCCCTGCTGCCCACGGGGCTCTGGGTGAGCCCAGCACAAGGTGAGGGTTTTGGGCTTCCAACACGCATGGCCAGGGCATGTTAGTTCTTCATCAACCATCAGTATTAATAACATCCTGTTGCCTGTCCTTTAACTTCATTCCATACTGCCATTTCTTAACATTCCCCACGTTTATAACTTTTCCACCAGACTCTTGCCATATTTAAATGTTATATCAAGACAACATTTCCATCACTGTCTGACTAAATAGTAAAACAGTCCCACTGAAATCAATGAACCTTTGTACTTGCCTAAAGCTATCATGTGCTGGGACACACAAAAAACTTTTCTGTTTTCAATGGGACAGTTTTTATTTTATTAAATGCATGCCATGATGCCAGTAATATATACTGGGCATGCATGCATACATACACACATCCATACATATATATATGCATGCAAATTTTTTAAAAGAAATATTACTTGTGTTCTGTATACATTTTTTCCTTGTGAAAAATAAACTAAGAAGATTTTGCCATGAAGAGCATTGTGGCATCCTAATTCCTTGCTCTCCATTAAAATAGCTGTTAGAGATTTTATTTATAAATTATCTTGCTTCATTTTGTTGCCCTCTAACAAAATATAGCCGACATTGCTGTTCTGATTACCAAAAAAAATACTTGTGATACTTTTCTTCTTATAGAACTGCTTTACATCAGTGGTAATGCATTTTTAAGATGTCATTGGAAACTACTCAGACTATTAACTGTCAAGATGAGTAATTTTCCTTGATTCATAAATTTAAAGAACCACTACACCACATGTATATTTAACAAAACACTTTCCTAATCTGGTACAAAATAATAATGAAAATGTTTTGAAGGTCACCGTGTGACCCATCTCCTGCCCTAGGTGGGATTCTGTCCAATCCAGCTGTAGAGAGAGGCACAAGGAGTCACTGTGACTTCTTTCGCCTTAAAACAGCGCCTCGCCTCGCCCTCACATGGCTTTTTTTCTGTTAGCCAGAATATCCAAATGTTTGCTCCGTGATTTCACCCCGTTATCCCTACTTCCTCCTTGGGTGAAGCCGGAATATCCAAATGTTTGCTCCGTGATTTCACCCCGTTATCCCCCTTCCTCCCTGGGGGGCGATTTGCCTGAGGGAAGCGCACCAACAGGGACAACGCTCTTCTTTGAGAAATTAAATCTTTTCCTAACGAAAAGTTTATTCTGTTGCAACAAATGTCCTTGAGTTTATGAAGATGTCCCCGCTTAAAAACAAATAAATAAATGAACGAAACGGAGAGAACTTCTGGGTTCAGCCCAGCGCAGTGCCCGGGCTGCGGGGGCGGAGGAGGAGAGGGATGCTCCGGGCACCGCAGCCCGCCGCGGCTCCCCGCTCCGGGCGGGCGGCCAGGGCACATCCCCGCCTCAAGCCCCGGAGGAGGAGACGCCTCCTCGGACACGTTAAAAGTTTGGGGCGGCTCCGGCTCGGAGGAGGCAGAGCCCGGCCGGGCGCTGCGAGAGCTCCGCGGGCGCCGAGCCCCCGGCCCCGGGCACCGCCCCACGCCGCCGCCGCCACCGCCGCGGGAAGATGGCGAGCCGCAGCCTGCGCCTGCTGCTCCTGCTCTGCCTGGGGCTCCTGAGCTGTAAGTGTCCCTGTCCCGCCGGGATACCCGGGATACCCTGTCCTCCCCGGGCTGCCCGACCCGCTGGAATCTCTGTGTGTGTGTATATATTTTGAGGGGGATGGCTCCCAGAGGTGCCGCTCCCCTCCTCATCCCGGAGCGAGAGGAGCCGAGCGAGCCGCGTCTCCAAGAACGAAACGCCACAAGCGCGTCCCCCGCCACGGCCGGGGCGCTGCGCGCTGATTCTTTCCATGTGTCTTTTTCCATGTAACCTGTTTAAGGCCGGCCTGGCTAAGTGCGAGTCAGCGGCCGCCTGACGGCTTGCAAACTTTAGAATGCGGGCTGCATAGTTTGTTTTTCTGGTGGCCTTTGCAAGGTGAATGAACGAGGAGCGGGAGGGCGTTTTTTGTTGCCAGCGCTGGATGCTGCATCTTCGGAACAGAGTTGAGTTTCCAGTATTTTTATGCTCCTGACTCCTTAAAAACAAAGGGGTAAGGTTAGAATAAGTTGAGCAAAGATTCCCCTGCTGGAAAGCACGCATAAATAATAGGGAAAAGGAGATATGTGCAGCAGGTACCTGCAGAGAGCCACTGAATTAACGCTACTGTTAGTAGTGTCAGTGGTGATAAGGCTGTCGCTTTCAGATGTCTTACAGTGCTTCTGTTCTATGCTTTTTTTGTCTCACTGATGTTTGGGGAAAGAGCAGTACATGAAAATAGTGTTTTGAAAAGAATTATGTAGCACTGTCTTCCAATGAAATAACCACCTAGGACCAGCCCAGGATGGGTTCTCAATCCACTGTAGATGTGGAACATCCATGGTACTGATGCTGGGTATATTTTGAGGTTTACCTTTCATTCCTCCTAACAGAACATTACCTAACAGAAAGCTCTGTGTATGTAAACTCTCTTTTTTTTTTTTTTTCAGAGTCCTGCAGTGGAGATACTTAAAATTATGTATGTCTGATAGGTCTTTGGCTTGGAAATTTTTTTTTCCTCTCCTTTTTCTCCTACAAGACCTTATGGAAATGTTGGGCTGTTAAATGAACAGCTAGTGCAGAAATTCTCTTTCACATAGTAACCAATAATAATAATACACATGGTTTTATTTTTTTGGTTTTTTTAACTTCATTTCTTCTTAATTGTGTGATATATCTGAGCAGGTGAAACTGCTGTGATTTTTTTTGGTGACAGGTTTCAGTGTGTTCAGGCTGCTCAGTCTCCTGGTTAGCTGTCTGTTGGCAGTGCTGGCTTTGACTGCTAAGGAAATGATAGAGCATGCAATACAGTGCATCAAAGTCTGGTGCTTACATTGTTATCAGACTTGGAGGTTTCTTCTTGGCGGGCTTTTTCCCCTTCCTGTCCCAATTCCAAAGAAACACTAGATGGAAAGCAAGTTCACAAGCAAGGTGCTGATAAGGAGGCTTTTCATGAAGAAAGTGATTGTAGGTGCATGGGTGTGCAGATGCCTATTGTTTGTGGGAGCCAGAGGAAACCCAGGAATAAATCCAGGCAACCAGAAGTCTGTGTGACCCAGGTACTCTGGAGATGGTGGGGAATGGGCAGAAATCAGTGAGGGAAGGGAAATAGTGGTGGATACCTCACAAGCAGCATAGGGGTTAGACTCTCCTCCCAGGCAGCCAGCAATGTGGTAAGAGGACACAGCCTCAGGCTGAGTCAGGGGAGGACATCAGGAAGAACATGGAAAAGGTTGTTAAGCACTGGAATGGGCTCTCAGGGAGGTGGTAGGGTCACCATCCCTGGAAGTGTTCAAGAAACAAGTGGACGTGGCACTCAGTGCCCTGGTGTAGTTGTGGAGGTGGTGATTGGTCAAAGGTTGGACTCAATGATCTTAGAAATCTTTTCCAGCCTAAATAGTTCTGCAATTCAGTGGTTAAATTGTGGAGCAGGTATAGAGAACTTTCTTGGTAGCTGAGCTGCAGAAATCAAAAGCTGTGTAAGTTGGTCATAAGGCATCAGCATAGCCAAAGCAAATGATGTTTGAATTGGTTTTCATTGAGTACTTGCTAAGAAATATTCATGACCTGCAGAAATTGAAGTTTCTGTGAGCTAATCTTCCCTTCCACCTTTAATTTTGGGAAAGTTAGGGAGCTGGGAGTCTTTAACCATGTTCTCTCTCAGCACAAGCTTCTGGAATTGACGTCTCAAAGTCATCAAAGGTGCCACAGCCTAAGACTTGTGAGCTCTGTTGGCAAGACAGAACAGGTACAGAAAGTGTTATTAATTTCTAATGGCTCCATGGGAGGAGATAGTGTGTACTGACCAAATGGCCTTTCTGAGATTCATCTAGGTGTGATTTTTTCTTAATATTAGTGCACATTGAAATTAGACTTCAGGTGGTGATGCTGGAAGCAAATGCAGTACAATATGTGTGTGTGAGGACTATGCAGAGGCAATAAATAGTAGTCTTACCTAAATATTTGATGGAGCTCACTGGGGTAGTTTGAACAGTAAGTAAGGTGATATTTTGTGTATTTGTTTTGGCTCAAGAAAATCCCACTCCTTATTTCTCAGAAATGTTTCACTCAGATACAAAGATTCTAGACCAAAGAAGCCTTTTGTTTCTTTTCTTCCCCAACTCTGACAAAAAAAAATCATAAAGCATGACTGCATTGCTGTAGGAATTGTCAGTGGAAGTGTTTGAACTATGCTTTCTTGACTATTTGTGATACACAACTGATGTACTCAAAATTGAGACTATTGTCAACCCTTTTTCTGAGCCCTCTTTGTTTGCTGGATGAGCTTGGTAGGAACTGATTTCTAAATCAGACCATATTCAGGTGAGATGGGATTTCTTAAATTTGTAAGACTGCATAGTTCTCTAGTAATATCTGTTCAACATAATGCTATAAAGCAGACAGCCTGGTTTTGGAGGAGGAGTGGAGGAAGAGGCATCAACTGAATGCTCATTCTCTTGCTGGTTTAGGTGAGAAGCAATATTTCTTTGCTAAAGGCTGCTCAAGGTTTAGAAACATGCACAGACTCTTAGACACTACAACATAAGTTGTAGGAGGATAATAAACTGCTAATACATAAACAAACAAATGGAAACTAAGTACAAAAAAAAGCCATGTTTGTTTCTAGCCTTCAGCTTAACGTTTTCCATTTATGACTGTGGTGAGACTGCACAAGATACCCATTTGCTTCTAAAACTGACACAAATTGACATGGCAGGAAAGACTGTTTCTGTCTTTAAAAGGGATACATGCTTCTCTCTAGCTTATTTAATAACCTTTACAAAATTTCACCCTCTTTCTTAGATCCTCATGCTCAGAAGAAACTGTCTGTGAGTTATTGGTATCTCTCTCAGAAATCATGGCTTTTACTGCATTTCAAAACAGCAAGTCATGCTGTTCTCCTTAAACCTGGGTGTGCTGCTTAGAAGGGCTCTGTATTCCTGAGAGGACTCAGCCACAAGTGCTGCTGCTGTGTCTCTCTTTCTGTCTCTCTCCATCAGAGAGGAGCCAGAGAGAGCTCCTCCTTGGTTGGCCCCATGGTATCATTCTTCTAGGCTGCTGGCCCCACAGACTACTACTGGATGTGCAAAAGAGAAAATGAGGGTGGCTGTCTTCCCTGATTGTATAGAGGAGACAAGAAACATGCCTGGAAATGTTACATCAGGACAGTTGCAATGCCTTGTTTCTTTTATAAGGTGGATGAATGCAAGAGGAGGAGTTGCTTTTGTATTTGCTTGGCCTCTGAGGTCCTGTTTTCTCAGCTTTAAAGTCACAACAATTCTTTGTTCATGTGGATACACATTTCTGGTAATTGTGAATATCATAGGGCATCTGGCAGTAATAATGACAGTTAAAGCTACCACTGTGATTCACAAATCTAATTAGGCCTGGATGAGGTCTTTCCATTGGCTATTTAACTGAATTACAGAAAGATATTTTTGTGATTATTTCCTGTATTACACCTGTAATTCCTGCTGCAGCCTGTTTTGGTAGCTGCCAGGTTCTGCTTCAGAAACTGGCTGATGCCAGTGCAAATGATTTGGTGAGAATACAGAAGTAGCTGAATTTTGACATCATCTTTTCAGTTGATTGATTTATCAGAACACCTGGTTTCATCTTTCATGACCTAGAGCAACCAAACTTGTCTGTGTTCACTGGATTCACAGTCCAAATGTTATTTGGGGTGTGTGCAGACCTGTTTTTAAAGAAGTGAACTAAAAACATTACAGCAGACACTTAGCCTTGCTCCAAGGGTGCCCCAGGTTATTTAATTTCTTCTCAAGTGCTGGTGGTCACTAGGAAGAAGTCTGTAAGACAGAAGTCCTCTTGTGAAATATGAGAGAATCTTCTTGTACATCTGATATTAAGAAAATTCAATTTCCTCATAAATTCACATAAGTAAATAATAGTAGTATTTCTTCACTGAAGATAGACAGTGACATGCATGTGAACGTTCTGCAGTAGCAGAAAGCAATCTTCCTTTGTTTGAGGGGGAAGAGATTTAGGTTGGTGGTGCTTTTAGAGAGACAGGAACAGCTAGTAATATAGTTCTGCAGTTGGGATGTAAAAGTGTCCATCTGGTATGATCTACTTAGAATCCATCAACACTCAAAATGTAATCCTTGTGCTGGAGCACTTCTGAAGACACTTGCTCCCTGCACATGGTGAACCCTTTTAAGTTCACTTTTCTTAAAGTAAGGCTTAGTGTCATATACTTTCCCTTAGAAATGCTAGAGGTGACTCTAGTACAAATGCTTATGTAAAGGAAGGTTACTTAGAAAATAAATATCCTGTCTATTAAAGCAATTGAAGCAAAGGCAGACATATGTATTTGTCCTTGCAGACTGTTTGACAGGGCCATATGGAATGGCTAAATTCCCTTGAAGTTATATAAGGATATCAGGAAAAACAAAATTTGCATAAAATATTGTCCTTGGGGATGTGTACAATGAGCTGTTTACTGCTTTTTTTTCTTGTTTTGCTGGGATTTTTTTCTCCACCCTGTTAACTTTGTGGCAGTTTTGCATATTTGTGGGAAAAGAGA